GTCTCAAAACAAGATCAAAAAGACTTTTTGGCTGATATAAGATTTTAAAACTTGGTTAAGTGGACATTTTTTGCAGTGTATCTTTTTTTTTTATAACTGTCAAAGCAGAATAAAAAATCAGAAAAATCCATAATTTTGAGAAAGTCTGGCTGTCTGGGATCAAATAAAAAAGGAACTAAAGCAAAACACAGTATGCTCCGACACAAGTAAGAACATTTATGTAAAGACTTGAACCTGCTTTTAAGAAAAGCTGCTAAATATATTATTTTTCTATTTTGAGTGGGCCTACAGCTTGGTTCAAAGAGATTGTTCTTTTTTTCCACTTCAACTGGCTARCATCTATAATTACCAGGTGAGTCTTTGACTAGGAAAGCTGCAGGAAATAGCAGGAGAGAAAATCTAATCTTAATTTAGCTTCTTGTTACAGAGTTTCAGCTTCAGTCTGCCACTGTTCCAGTGAACTGCTTGSTTTAAAAACTGAACTTTTGTTACCTGGTCAGGAGCAGCATTTGGTGAGCAAGTCAAATAAAAACCCAATTTCATTTATTTTTGATTTATTTAGCTAGTCTCCTATTTCTAAATGAGGTGAACAATAAACTTGCTTTGATTCTGCTGTATTTTTTTTTATTTATTTGTTTTGTTTACTAGTAAATGAAAACTCACGCACCTTTTATAAAAAAAAAGGTCATCAAATACCAAAATTATATCTTATCATCTCCAAATTACAACTTAGCATCTAATGATTATGGCTTTGCATCAGGATTTAGTATCTCATTTTTAAAATAAAAAACAACTAAAAATAAAAACTTACAGCAAGACATAACTATGACTTAGTATCACATTAATATGAGACAGTATCTCAAAGTTATGACGTAGCATCTCATAATAATCATATAGTGTCTCATAACTATTGCTTAGTTTCTTGTAATAATTACTTTGCATCTTATATTATGGTACCATTTCATATGATTTAGCATCCTATAACTATAAGATATTATCTCAAGGTTAGGTCTTTGCTTCTCATGCTAAGCATATCATAAGATTTTGTATTTATGAGGTATTATTTAAAGGTTATGTCTTGCATCTCATTAATATGACTTATTTCATATGATTTAGAATAACAAAATGATGACTTAACATTTAAAAATATGATGCATCATTATTATCTCATAATTATTACTTGATAATCTTATGATGGCATTGTTAAATTATGACTTAACTCAGTGTTTCCCAAAGTTGGGGTCGGGACCCAAAGTGGGGTCCTGAAACATCAAGGTGGGGTCCTGAAAAGATTTTCTGAATTAATTACATTTTTGCCTTAGTTGTTACACAGGAGTGAGG